GAATGCTATCTGGAGATTCCGTCATAGGAAAAGAATGTTCGGGCGAAAAATGTTCTTGAGTTTCAGGAGCTTCAGGAGTTGAAGACCTCCTTGCAGAGGCGGTGTTTCTTCTAGTGCGACGTCCAATTTTGCGGTGAATCACCATTGAGGCTACTGGAAAAAGCTTGAAGATACGGCGGAACAACCGTATAACCGAATTTTCCGGCGGAATAACCGAAAAATTGAACAGAAAAGAACGATTAACCGGGAGAATCACCGATTAATCAAGGTCAAAAGATGCGAATCAAAGAAAAACGGATCGATTGAGCTTTTCTGCGAGCTCAAGCTCTGATACCATGTTAGTGTTCTTGAGAAAACGAGAGAGAAATGGAGAAAGTTTGTTATCTTTCATTAATGACAATCTGTTTCAGTATATAGACAATTGTACCGGGTTTACAAGATAACCGGATACATTAATTAAACCAACATACATTGATACTCTAATACCTGACAACCACAAAAAAATGGGCGGTGGAACGTGGGTCTCGTGGGATTAGTCTTTTGACATAGGAAATCGTTGGGATCCCCGCGCTAATAAAAAAAAAATACGCACAATTATAATAATCTTTTGATAGTTTCGCGATGACCCCGAAAAGAGCAACTACTGTAAATGAGTCAAGTTTCTCGGTGGGCCAAAAACGTCAATAATTACTAGTTACACAAATAATACATTACGTAAGTGGTTGAAATTTACTACCAATTTTCGTGGAATATGTACGGATGCACCAAACTTCAATATTTTTGTTCTTGAGTAGGATTTTTCTTTCACTAGTTTTCTTTGAACTGTCATATAGTAAGTGATTCAGAAAACATAATGATTTATTATTTGAAGTTATTAAAATATACACTAAATGCTAACAAAAATGATTATGCTTCTTAGATATGATGGAGGATGAAATTGTTGACCTTTGCCATGCTGGAGGCAGTTTTGGTGTTAGGTTAGGTGTGTCCCTATGAAAGAAAAAAAAAAGAAAAAATCTCTTCAATTTTCTGTTCCAAAATTTTAAAATTAACGTATAGACAGAAAATATTTAGAAACTAAACATAATTAGTTGAGCATCAATAATAGAGATTTGATTAAAAAGTACTATCAAATATATTCACATTAACATTTACACTCTTTTCATAGTATATTTGTACACAACTTATTTACTCCAAACCGGAAGAAAAGGTTTCGATCAAACCGAAATAACAATCAGAAATCTAGAATATATATATACATGAATGAAAGAAAACCCTATGACTATTGTTCCTAGCTATCAAACCGAAGTAAACCAAAGGCATATACCCATTTAGTATGACATCAAACCGGTCAAAGAAAGTCAGAAAATCAAACTTCATTCTCATCATAAGGTGACACTCTCTACTATAAGAAAAGGTCAAGACAAACCAGAATTTAAACCGATTCAAGTAAACCGGAAACCACAGATGTTTAATTGTCATCTTCAATCATGTTGTAAGTTGGTTTCCTAAAGAGAAGTTGCAGTGTATAAATCGTTGGTGCTGGTTTCCAAGAGATCTAAAAGAGTAATCCTTCCGCTATTGGTTTGGTCGAGCTTGTCAAACTGGTTAGCGATCGGGTTAATGTCCTTATCTTTTATTTTCTCCATTTTCTTTAGTTTGTATATCACAAACTCTGCTTTACTGCAAAAACAAGAACAAAACTTATAAGAAGATTTGATTATGTGCAGATAAAAAATCAAGAAGATTATTGGACCAAAGATCATGATACTATCAAAGATGTTCAGGGCATCACAGATAACAGATCATAAGAGTGGGATTTAAAAAGGGTATGTGAATCGACTAAAATCTGAAGCTAATGGAATTGAATCTAAAAAGAGAAATGCTTCGTAGAAATTCTGGTAAAACACAATCTTAGTGTCTGATCAAGGTTCCTCGAGTTTTAAAAAACACGCATAAACCCGAAGAATCAAGAATCTCAGAAACTAATGATTTGAAGAAGTAGACTTTAGAACTAATCTCAAAGAAAAAAACTTTAGAATGTTGAATGCATCAAACCTCGCGGACCAAGGGGAGAAATCATATAAGAAGATGGGCGAAGCGAGTAAGTACCTCACACAGCCATTGTGGTCAATATCCGCAGCAAAGAACTGAGAGATAGACATGTTCTCACCAAGCACTCTCTTCGCTCGCTCTCTGTTCCTCTTATCCACTCTTGCTTCAGCCAAATACAAAAACGCTCGAGCAACAGCTAAAGTAGAAAACAGCAACCAAATCGCAGCAAGAAGCCTACCAGGCAATGTCTTAAAAGCCCGATCACCATACCCTACTGTAGTAACCGACATAACCGAGAAATAAAACGAATCCAACCACCCTATTTTCTCAATGAAATGCATAATCAAAACTCCAAATCCAAGGCACAACACCACAACACCCAATGCCAATCCAACTTTCAACCTAATCCTCATCCTCCCTTTCTTAACATCGATTAAATACGATCTCTTTTTATCCGGCTCATCCAAAATATCGTTCTTCGCAGCTTCTAACAAATAGTTTTCTTGAAGATCAAGAACATACTGAACCATCCCACTAAGCAATACATCCATAAAACCAAACCCAACAAGCACAAAACATATCGAAAACAGCTTCGTAACAACGGTATTTGGCGTGATATCTCCATACCCAATTGTACACATTGTTACAATACAAAAGTATAAACCATCAACAACAGAATGAGTATGAATCACTGCGTAGCTATCTCGATTCAACCAATAGATAAGCACACCTAAAGAGAGATACACAATAAGCAAAGCAATAGCTCGTCTTACAATGGATTTGGAATCTGAATGCTCTGTTTTGCGATCCATTGGGTGAGTTAGATCGTTGATCGCAGCCATAGCAGGAGCTGTTTTAGATCGGTGGTATCCATGGTGGGTCGATTTGGGTTTTCGGGCAGGTAAATTGTGTTCCGGAGGCGGAAGGAGAACGTCTAGGGTTGATGAATCGGAGAATGAAGTTGTAGCGGAAGATGACGGCGAAGTGTTCTGAGAAATTACGTCGATGAGAAGCGATGTGTCTAGTTGAGAACGAGGAAATGGACCAAAGATTAATCGGTTTTTGAATTCCGATGGTGTCATCGGCATCGGAATAGTGACGTCGTTGTGCTCCGGTAAGGAAAGTAGAGGCGGTCGTGGGTTGGTTCTAGGGCTAATCAAGTATTGGAGTAATGGGTCTGTGTCGTTTCCGCCATTACCGTCGTTCGCCATCTGGGTTTTTCGCCGAAAGTGGTTTTCCGATGATTGTGTGGGGACAGAAAGAGTGGATAAAGGAAGAAACTTTCTTCCAAAAATCGAACCTTTTTGGGGATTTTGATGGCTTATTCAGTTAGAGAATCATTCGTAAGCACTGGTGATTATATAGTTCGAAAAAGACAAAAATTTTGGTAACGGGATTAGTTTTCTTTTTTTTTTTTGGCGTCGGGATTAGTTTTTTTTTTAAACGATAATATTGATGAGTTGTGTATATGTTTGTTGTAGCTTTTCATAATTTATTTAGATGATAAGATACTCGGATGCGATTTAAGATTTGTATTTGGTTCATAGTTTACTTGTAACTATTTTATCAACGAACCCTGTTTTATTGATAAATTATAAATTGGCACCACAACAATCAAAAAGGTTAATTTACCCAATAACAAAAAAAAAACATAATTTAAAAAGTAACCAAAACCTTCTTATGTGTCACAATCACAACTCTTAAATTTAGGATTTTTGGTTACCATTTTAAAATTTTTTTTTGTGTTATTGGGTAAATTAACCCCAATCAAAATTGTGTCTTAGACAAATAGGCATAATTGAGTTTATAAATTTTATGAGATTTTAAAGATCTTTTATGAGGTCAAAAATTGGTTTCATATGATTTGTAAGTGCTGTAGATTTTCAAAAGATTATATTATGTACTATGTAATCAAATAAATTATTACACTGTTAAGGAAAATGACGTTTTTAAAATCTTTCGTTTGAAAAAAACACACAAAATTAGCGAATTATGATCAGTGTGCAATGTATCCTCTTTCTAGTGTGCGATACACAAGAAGTCATTTAAATTATACTCAGATTTCAATTGACAAATTTGTACTCTTTTTCTTTTAAAATATAAGTTGTTTTACTTAAAATTACGCATATTAAGAAACTACTTTTCTACTAAAAAGTATCATTTAATATATCTAATAAAAATAATTTGACCAATCACATAAAATATTGCAAAATATTAGTGGTCACACAATATTCAATAAATTTAAAAAATACCTAGTATTGTCAAAACAACTTATATATTGAAACAAAAAAAAATAGATAAAACAACTTACATTTTGAAACGGAGGAAGTAATATATTATGCTGGGTGAGGGTGAGATAAGTCAGATTAGAAATGAAGGGGTCAAAACCTATAAACTTTAGAAATACTTGCCAATAAGTGGGATATAAGATAAAAGAATTGAAAGGGTCAACTTTGTTTGTCAACGCTCAACGACACGGTGTCTCTTTCTAGCTGAGTAAGAGAAACGGCACAACGTGTCGTTTTCGCCGTTTCAGATGACGTGGTTTCCGGAAAGTGGGATTTTGAGAATTTCTTATTTGCTTGCACATTTAAAAAAAAAAAAAAAACTTGACACGTTCGGATTTTGAGAAACAATCAATCAAAAGGAATATTTCCACGAATAATTCCATCAGCAAAACAAGTGAATGCAAAAACAGAAGTAAATTTACATTCATGACAATTTCGGCAACTTGTTTCCTCTTTTTTTTTTTGATTTTATTCCTACTCAAAACACAAACAATCAAAATAGTTTCATATTTTTTAGATTACATTCATCCAAAAAAATAGTAAGCTGCTTAGTCGGATTATCAATACTATTATTGTTAAAAATTGTTGTTGCCAACAACTATTGTTATTGCAAAATGTTTTGATAAAACCGAAGTATCAATAAAAAATTAAGAATACATACATGAAAAAAACCCTATAACACACTCGATCGGTTGATCCTAGCCATCAAACCGAAGTAAACCAATAGTATATACCCATTTGGTATGATATCAAACCAGTAAAGGAAACTCAAAACATCAAACTTCTTCGTTCTCATCATCATCCTTAAAGGTGAGGAGGTGACACTTTCTTGGCTACAAGAAAAGACCAAGACAAACCAGAATTTAAATCGGTTCAAGTAAGCCGGAATTCATTGTCATTTTCAATCATGTTGTAATGTTGGTTTCCTAAACAGAAGTTGTAGTAGATAAATCTTTGGCGTTGGTTTCCAATAGATCTAGAAGTGTAATCCTTCCACTATTGGTTTGGTCAAGCTTGTCAAACTGGTTAGTGATCGGGATAATGTCCATACCGGTTATTTTCCCCATCTTCTTAAGTTTGTATATCAGGAACTCTGCTTTACTGCAATAAGAACGTTCAGGGCATGTCAAACAACAGATTTTAAGCGGAAGACCGAACTAAACTCTTAAGCATAAACCGAGAGTCCAACAGATTCAAGAATCTCAGATTCTAATGATTTCAAGAACCTTAACAAGAATGATACTTTAGTATTAATCTCAAAGAACAAAACTTTTGAATGTTGAATGCATCATACCTCACGGATCAACAGGAAATTTATGGAAGAAAATGTGCGGAAAGCGCAGAAATTTGATTACAAAAGCGAAGCGAGTGAGTACCTCAAGCAGCCATCGTTGTCAATATCCGCAGCAAAGAACTCAGAGACAGACATGGTTTCGTCAAGCACTCTCTTCGCTCGCTCGCTATTCCTCTTATCCACTCTTGCTTCAGCCAAAAACAAAAACACTAGAACAAGAGCTAAAGTAGACACAAGAAGCCATATCGCAGCAAGAAGCCTACCGGACAATGTCTTAAAAGCCCCATCTCCATATCCAACTGTAGCAACCGACATAACCGAGAAATAAAACGAATCAAACCACCCAATTTTCTCAATGAAATGCATAATCAAAACTCCAAACCCAACGCATAACACCAAAACACACAATGCCAATCCAACTTTGAACCTAATCCTCATCCTTCCTTTGTTCCTCGCAGCTTCTACTAACATATACTTTTCTTGAAGATCAAGAACATACTGAACCATCCCACTAAGTAACATACCCATGAAACAAAACCCAACAAGCACAAACAAAATTGAAAACAGCTTCGTAACAACACTATCAGGTGTGATATCTCCATACCCAATTGTACACATTGTTACAACACAAAAGTATAAACCATCAACAACAGGATGAGTGTGAATCACTGCGTAGCTATCTCGAGTCAACCAGTAGATAAGCACACCTAAAGAGAGATACACAATAAGCAAAGCAACAGCTTTTCTTACAATGGATTTCGAATCTGATTGCTCTGTTTTGCGATCCACTGGGTGAGTTAGATCGTTGATTGCAGCCATAGCAGGAGCCGTCTTAGACCGGTGGAATCCATGATGGGTCGGTTTGAGTTTTCGCGCGGGTAAATTGTGTTCCGGAGGTGGAAGGAGGAAGTCTAGGGTTGATGAATCGGAGAATGACGGCGAAGGGTTTTGAGAAAGCGATGATTCTCCTTGAGAACTGAAGAGTAATCGGTTTCTGAAATCCGATGGTGTCATCGGCGTCGGAATGGTGACGTCGTTGTGCTCCGGCGAGGAAATTAGAGGCGGTGTTGGGCTAATCAAGTGTTGGAGTAAAGGGTCAACGTCGTTACTGCCATTACCGTCGTTCGCCATCTGGGTTTTTCGCCGGGAAACCGGAAAAAGCAGAAACCAGGGTGGTTTTCCGGTGTTTGAGTGGGAACAAAATAAGTGGATAAAGGAAGAAACTTTCTTCCAAAGATCGAACCTTTTTGAGGATTTTGATGACTTCCAAAGAAGCACTGCAATGCCTACTAGTAGGCACGTTTCCATTAAAGAATGTAAACCAACTTCCAACTAAAAAATTCAAAACTTTAAATATTTATCAACTAAAAATCTCATGTATCAACTAAAAACTTTAAATTTATTATTTATGTTCCTAACAAAATTTATGAAAATAGTTAGTTTTACATTAAAACTATAAAAAAAGATCAAAATCAGAGAAACGTCATAGTATAAGTATTTCTAGACTAAGGCAATATTAACAAAGTAGCTAATTGGTTCTACAAAGAAGGGTTAGGAAAAGCAAAAAGGTCATTAGCTTGATTGGTTCTGGTTGATTTTGATGATTAGTACTTGTCTTTTGGCCAGAACATTGGTTGGCTTGGTTTAGATGAGTCACTTCTAGGATCGTATAGGTTCGGAGGTAAAAAGTATGGATTGCTTCTTCCATCAAGACGTCTATAAAGC